GCACATAACCACCACCACCACCACAGACTAAAGCTAGAAGAGAGACATATTAAATAATCATGACACTACAGGGGTAATAGTAAGGGAGGATGAATAAGAGAATTAATAAAAATACTCTCACTGGTGGGTGACTGATAATTGGCAGTGCTTGGTGGGAAAACATTTGTCTTAGTGGAATCATTTAATAAGCATAAGAAGTATCACTATACGTAATATTATAAATATAAGTATTAGCAACATTAGATTTAGAAATGTAAATGTACATGTTAAATATAATTAATATAAATAAATATTGTTAATGATGATGGCTAAAAACAATGGAATCAGAAGCAATAAAATCGAATATTTATAAACCCATTGCTGTGAAGTTGGTTGCAGCTGTAGAACAGGGTCGAACTGTCCGTGGAATTTCACAGACTGCCATATCTTTTCCCCGGTGAGGTGGCTGGTGAGTTTGAACCATTGACTTTCCGGTTAGCAGATGAGCACTGTTCTCGTTGTTTCACATGCAGTGACTCCATCTAATCCCTACAACAATCAAATGAGGTATATATGAAGGATTTCAAAAACGTTTACGGAAAAAATGGAATGAAAAGAATTCAATTCAATTGGATTAAAAATTGAATTAAATTGATTGAAAAATTCAATTAAAAGACTTTTCCCATGACCTTTGGTTGTTTTTTTTTTTTTGTTTTTGTTTTTTCATTTATTCTGAAATGAGTGCAGGTTTACAGAGCAGCTCATCAGTTTCATATTCAACCAATCATACACTTCATTTCATCTCCATTACAATACCCTCAATACACCAACCTTCCCACTTCCTCCACATACCTCCTGCCTCCATTCCTCCCTCTTCCTGTCTTCCCTGAACTTTATCTTTAAGTAAATTCTGCCCTTTTGATCTCAATTAGTTGACTGTTCTGTGATGTACAGAGTTCATTCGTGTTGTTGTCCCCCAGTATACCTATCTATTGTTGTTAATGCTGTAGAGTCAGTTTCAACTCATACAACCCTGTAGAAGGTTTCTGAGAAGTGGCTGGTGAGTTTGGACCACCTAACTTGCTTATTCAAACTGACCTTGCATCTAGTGCTCACCCTACAGCACCACACCGGGACTCCTAGCTATTGCTTGGCTGAAAAATGAGCATCAGGGCTGAGTTCAGTTTTGGTTCTGAAGGACCAGAATCTCACAGTTACACTGGTCTCTAGCTGACCAGTAAACCTGGCCTTTTTATGATTTTTAGTTTCTTTCCACATTTTCTCCCACTCCATCCAGGACCTTCTAATGTGATCAAAGCAATTGGGAATGGTTGTCGAGCGTCATCTAGTTCTGGTCTGAAGGGTATGGAGACTAATGTGTATTTGATTCACTGGTCCATTGGACTCATTTATGACAAGTATCTTCAATTTTCCTCACATGTCTTTCCTCCAGACAGGGTAAAACCAATAGTAGCACCTTAGATGACCTTTCATGAGCTTCTATGATCCCAGTCACTATTCACCAAAGTGGAGGTAGTGATTGTGCATCACCGAATCAGTTCCAACTCATAGCATCCCTGTATAGAGTATCCAAGACTATAACCCTTACTTGAGCAGAAAGCCTTATCTTTCTTCCAAAGAGTGACTGGTAGATTCGAACTATAGACCTTGCAGTTAGCAGCCCAGCTCCTAATCCACTATGCCAGCAGGGATTCACTGTAATAGGATCATGTTATGGTGATTGACTGTGGTATCCCCTGAGATCATAGTTCTGAGCCCCCAGGCCCAGCAAATCATTCTCTCAAGGTGTTTGGTAATGTATAAGAAGTTTTCATAATTTTGCCCTTGCATACACTACCATATTCATGGATATGTGTGTACAAATATTCTGTCATATCTTTATATATTTGTGGGTATATCTGTTAGTATATCTATGTATCTACCAGTTGTTGTTGTTGTTGAGTGCTGTTGAGTCCGTTCCAACTCACAGTGACCCTGTGTAGAGTTTCTGATTCTGTAAATCTTTATGGGAGCAGAAAGCCTCGTCTTTCTTCCATATCATTATTATTGCATTGGACTACTAACTGCAAGGCCAGTGGCTCAAACCCACCAACTGCTCCTTAGAAACCCTAGATAAGGTTGTTTCTATTCCAAACCAACTCAATGGCACTTAGCAACAACAATAACAACACCTTTAAATCTTATTTTCCTCCCCAGGTTTTCCTCTGCCTTCATCATTCTTCTGCCACCCTCCCTCTTGTATATTGCCTTCTCCCATCACTCACGTTCAGATGTATCTACTCTCATATGGTGAATTATTTCCTATCCCCCTTCCCACCCCTGAAAATCACCAAAGAGTGTTTTATTTTAGTATGAAAATCTCTTCATGACTTTTTATAGTAGTCATTTCACTCAATATTTGTTCTTTTGTGATTGACTAATTTCATTCAGCATGTGTTCTCCAGGTTCATCCATGTTATGAGGTGTTTCATAGATAATTCTTCAGTGTTACATAGTTAGTATTCTGCTGTGTGTATATAGCAAAGGTGGTTTATTCATTGTTTCATTGATGGACATTTCCTTTGCTATTATTTGCAAAAAATTTTTTGTAGTTCCCTTGCACTATTGGTGTTCTCTTTGTGCCACATGAAGACACATTGTTAAAGTAAGGAGCCCTGGTGATATAGAGATTAAGCTCTCAGCTGCTAACCACAGGGTCATCCATTTAAACCCTCAGCCACCTCAACTTCATGGGATAAAAATGCAGCAGTCAGCTTCCATAAAGATTGACAGCCCGGGAAACCCCATGATAGAGCATTTAGTTCTACTCTGCACTTTAGGGTCTCTGTAAGTGAAATGGATTCAGAGACAATGGGTTAGGGTTAAGTAACGTGTCCAGTGTCCCACAGCCAGTAAGTGGTGGTTGGTTATGTGCCGTGGAGTTGGTTCCAACTCATAGTGTGACCCTTTACAGGGTTTTGGAGGCTGTAAATCTTTACAGGAGCAGAAAGCCTCATCTTTTGTAACATGGATCAGCTGGTAGTTTCGAACTGCTGACCTTAAGGTCTGCAGCCTGATTCGTAACCACTATGCTACCAGAGCTCCTTACCAGTAAGTGGTAGAACAAGATAAATCCATGCAGTCTGGCTCCACGGTCTTTGTTTCAGTCGTTCCACTTTAGTGCTCCAACAGCATGCTGGAGCATTCTGGGGGCTGGGACAGGTTTGGATGTATTACACAATCACTCTGGGGCATGATGTTGCATGTCCACCCAGGCAGTTCCTGGGACTCACCGTGTCTATGTGTGAGCAGTGTGGGCTCCTCCCGGAGTCTCACCTGCCAGACTCTGTTCATGACCTTGCCTTGTTTTCTCCCCTAGCCCCACTGGTGGACCTCACTCCAACCCACAGTGGGTCAGCCATGCTGATGCTGCTCTCAGTGGTATTTGTGGGGCTGGCAGTGTTCGTCATCTACAAGTTCAAAAGGTGCGTGTCCCACCCCTCCCAGTCCCCCTCCTGTACTCCCCAACAGGTGCAGACGCACAAGTCACAGTGATGTGCCTCTCCCGTGCACCACAGTGACGGTTTCTGTTAATATTTTAGGAAGATCCCGGGCATTAATGTTTATGTCCAGATGCAGAATGAGAAAGAACAAGAGATGATCAGTCCAGTCAGTCACACTGAAAACAGGTCCAATACCCCTCAGACTGAACTAAGGAGGCCTGGCCAGCTCTTAGATGAGAAGGTGGAATCCCAGCTAATAGGTAAATGATTCCTGGTAGCCATAAGCTGTTCAGCCTCAGTAGTCACTGGATGAAACTCTCTCTAACCCTTCTCTGGCTTAATATCACCACTGTCTTCTGCTCTAACCCCCTGAGAGAAACTGCTAAGATGCCTCTTTCCCTGCTGCTTTCCCTTGGAAAGGAAAACCAAAAATCAAAGCCCAAATCTTCTTGCTTCTACTTCATTAGTTTATTATTCCTTTTGCAAAACCTGTCACTCAGATATTGAGCTTCAAACGTTTAGAAGCAGAGGGCAAAGCATTGGCTCTAAAAAGTGTAAGAAGGAGAAGCCTCAGAGGCTGGGGCTGGTGACCTGGAAGTTTGGGCAGGGTACGAGCAGAAGGTATGTAATGATCAGAAAGAAGACATGGCGGCCACAGGTCCAGACTGTCCCACAAAGGGTATAGCACTCCAGAATCCAGTCCAGGAGCCAGCCTGATGACCTTCAGAATCTTCTTCTCTTAATCTAGCAGTAATCTAGAAACTGACCCTCCAGGAAAATGAAATCTCAGAATTTGAGCCCAAGAGACCTAGCATTTGCAGCACACCCTTGGAACAAGAAACCCCGAGAAAGACCGCTGGAGAGTCTGCTTGTTAGCAGATTGCAACTGTTTTCTTCTTTTGGGCCCATCCCGTATCAGAAGTCTCAAAATGATCTTTGTATTTGTGTAGCGCTCCCTCTCTCCAACAGCTAGATTTGGAGAGACTGAGGTTTAATTGCCAAGTCTTCCTATCTATGACTATGAAGTCCTGGTAGCATAGTGGGTTATGTGTTGGGCTACTAACCAACCATAAAGTCAGCAGTTCAAATCTGCCAGCTGCTCCACAGGAGAAAGATGAGACTTTCTACTTCCATAGAGATTTATAGCCTCAGAAACCCTCTACAGACCTATACAGGGTCTGTGTGAGTCAGAACTGACTCAATGGTATACAGTAGCAACAGCAGTACTATGTATTATAGAGGAGATGTTTCAGAAAGTCAGACAGATCCAGGGAGCCACCATTGCTGATGGATTTCTCTCTGTGGCCATTCATGCCCATTGGCGTGTGGAAATTGAAGCTGTAAATATTTCTATCTAAACCCTGCATTGCTGACTACAGTGATAGATTTCTGCATAACCATTCATGCTTCACTTGAATGTGAGAAAGCCCACCACCTAGAAGGTCTTCACATAAGATTTCTTATCTGTTCCTTGGAGAGAAACAAGTATCTAAATGAAAACATAACCCTGTCTTTCAATGGCGATGGGGAAAGGGAATTGAAATGCAATGACTGCCTCATACCGTAGGTAATATAACAACTGCAGCCACATCTGGGGCCCAATTTTTGCAGCACACTTTGTTTTATTTGGGACGACAGGGTGATAAATGCATAACTGCCTCGGGTTAAAAAGAGAAAAAGGCTTTTCTGTCTTTGAGTCCAGAGAAGCGTTCACCCTGGCTAGTCACTTCTAAAGTTTCTAACTTTAATCTTTGTGGGTCATTTGGTTCTCTGTCCCATTTCCACGGGGTATGCAGCACAACCGTTGTTAACTCTATTAATGTAGCAATCCCTCCTTCACCAGGAACATCTTGCAGCACATTGCAAAGTCTTTGACACTTTTCCATTTCCAGTGTCATTAAATGAGTAAGTGTTACACGTTTTCTCTTAGGAGAGTAGCTTTACCCTCCCCTCCCTCCCCTTCTACTCAACCGGGTGACTCATCTCTCCGATTGCAAAGAGCAAGACACGCCACTCCACCTTCAACGCCAAAGCGGGGATCTGCTGGGGCACACTTTGCAATTTAAGAAAAGCCCCCAAAGGCTACAGGCGACCTGCTGATCAGGAGAGAATTTCGCTCTTGTCAAGTGCATCATCCTTCATGACAACTAACTTTATGTTTTTGTTTCTGTTTTTTTTTGTTTTTTTGTTTTCTCTTTCCTTTGTTGTTCTGTTTCCTATTTTGCCAGGAAGTATTTCCATAGTTGCTGAGAATCAAAGCACAAAAGAATTCCCTACCTATGTAAATGTTTGAATGGAGGACGCCAGTAAAAAACAAACAATAAAATAAAAACCATCAAAATCCAAAAACAAACAAACAAACAAACACTCACTGCATCGGGACTTTTTAATTCTTCAGACACAGACAACAAGGGTTTTTAGCTTTAAGCCTGTGCATGTGGACAATAACTTGAGAACATGTTTGGAGGGGCAGTGTACAGGTGCTCTATTTTATTGGAAAACACTCCCCTCCCCCTTTCTTCTCCTCTCTCCTTTTTCTGATCGGTCGTGTTTGTAGAAAATTCATAACATATATAGGCCAAGGAAACCTGCATGTCTTTTTTGGACGTATTCTTGGCTCTAGATTTAACAGCTATTTTAGCACTACCGGCTCATGGGTGGGTTCACCACCCCAGCCCATTTCATGAAACACAAAGACATGCACAGGGGTTTGAAAACCTGAGCTGTTTCTCTGGTCCAATTTGCTTATTACCATTTCCCGTCTGAGTTGACTCTGGTAGCTCTGTTGGCCAGGGGTGGCCACAGGCTACTATTTCCATTACGTGTGGTGTGGCCCCATGGACAAAGGAGTGAGGTGGAAACCCCCCCAAGTCTGCAGGTTGAACAGAGATGGAAGGCAGACAGGCAGGCAAGCATGTCAGAAATGGACCATTGTTACCTGCTCCTCTCCTCCCACTGTGGCTGCTTCCCCTGGCAGCTTTCCCAATTCCTGCCCCAACTTCTGTGAGGAATGGAATTCCTTTACCCACTGTCTTGCTGTTCTACTTGTTTGCCACCTCTATGGTCATGAGCTATTGATGTCTTTGGATCTCTTTCTTCCAACCCTCAAATTATCCAACTGCTCCCACTTTTTCTTCCCCAAACATGTTGTTAAATTCTAGGTATTAATTCTGACATTTCCAAAATACTGGCCTAACTAACCTCCACTACCCCTGCCCCTGCTTCCTAGCAAGTTTCACATCTCTCTGTCAGCTTTGTACACTTGCAAGCATGCCAACTTCCATGCACACTGACCTAGCTGCAACCTGCCTAGCAGGGTTCAGCTCCATGCATCCTTTGTCTCTTCCCTTAGAAGCTGCCTCATTCAACTATCCCTGCCTTTCCCCTCCTGGAAACATATCAAATGTGTGAAAGAGTTGAATTATATGCAAAGCCGTCCAGATCTGGTTGAATACATTGGAAACGAAAGCATGCAAATGAATAGTGGTGTTCTTAACACCTTAAACAAATATATCTCATGCAAATTCCAAAAGATTGTTGTAAGAAATGTTTGGAACAGGTTTCAGTGAAATGTCCTCCTGTGATGGTTACTGTTACTCAGTATTTCCTCTCTCACAACAGAGTGAAATTGTTTTGTGAAATAAAACTGATTTTAACCAGAAGAAGAAGCAGGTTAATGGATTTAATATCTAAGAGTATCAGAGACTCTGAAAGAATATGTGGAGGTCTTGTCTTATACATTGGCATGATATTTTGATTGCCTAGGATGATCCTAGGAGCTCCGGTAGCGTAGTGGTTACGAATCGGGCTGTGAGCGCAAGGTCAGCAGTTCGAAACTACCAGCTGTTCCGCGGGAGAAAGATGAGGCTTTGTGCTCCCGTAAAGATATCCAGCCTGGAAACCCTGTTACAGGGTCGCTATGGGTCGGAACCGACTCGATGGCACTTAACAACAACAACAACAACAGGATGATCCTAGACATTTCAATGCATAGTGTCTGATCAGTGAGTATCGATCATAGTATCAGTGAAGGGAAGATAAATATAAAAGACAGCAATTAGTTGACTACAGCAAAGTAGATTGGCTTCAAAGAATGAGCAAATCCTAGTTTTCCAAGGATGATCATAAAAGACAGACTAGAGGAAAAAGAAAACAAAAGTACATCAAGCAGGATGCTCTTTAATGTTCTACATTGGACAAGACCAGACCCCACTCTAAAATACAGGAGAAAACAGCTCTGCCAAGCGACCTGGCAAGCTAAGCTTTCCTCTTGGCTATATCCCCAAGCAAAACCAGGGTTCACAAGACCTGAGACTAGTGTGAGTATCCCCAAGGTCCGGGCAGCTCTGTCCCTACGTTGCTAAGGCAGGGGAAGAGTAGCCAAGCTGTTGTCACAAAGTAATCAAACAGATATCATGGTTGAGGAAGCCCAGTATGAATCTGGGAAATGGATTCTGTCTGGGGAAGCCACTTGTAGAGCTCAATTGACCCCAACCTGTCAGGCTTCCTATCCCATAAGAACCATCCTCATTGATCCTCCTCAGCTGGACCATCCCACATCTAATCTGGAAAACAAAAGGGACTCATTCAAAATAGCATAGGGGGACCTCAGCGGTGCAGTTCAAATGTTGGAAAATTATGAAAATGGAAATAACGTTCTTAATCTAGCACAGTGCCTTGCTTAATAAAGTAGGTATTTAAGAAAATTATTTGTTGACTAAATAAATGAATGATTCTGTGAAAGGACATAGGGAAGAATGGACTTGTTAGTCTTCATTTTAAATGGAGGTGGACATAAGACACCTGGCATTTTGAAGAGTGGCCCCAAATGGCCAGCTATAAATTCTACATCTCCAGTGTCCTCATTTGCCAGTCCTCAAAGCTGCATCCCACCTGTAGGAGATAAGTGAGGCAAGATACTTCTGAGAGGCAGAGGATACCTCATTGGTTTCTACGACCTAATCTAGTGGTTCTCAAAGTATAATACCCAGACCAGCAATATAGGCAGCCCCTCTGACATGTTGGAAATACAAATTCTTGGTCCCCACCCTGGACCTATTAAATCAGAAACCTGGGAGTGGAAGCCTGCATCTATTTAACATGCCCTCCAGATGATTCTAATGCACACTAAAATGGGAGAACCAGCTACCAACCAGGCCACTCTAGCTCAGTTCCAAAGAGAAGGCAGTAATGAGCGCCTACAAATGGGAGGGACTCAAGTGCCTACCTACTCCCTAACAGCAGGTACCAACACAATGAGGAATCTAGTGGGCTAAGGACAAGAGAGATGGATGGGGAGGGAGGGATGTGGAAGAAAAAATTCAGGGCAAAGTAAAAACGTGATATTGCAAAGTTTCCCCAAATCCCAGAAGGCAAATTGTGCATGCTGTACCCTGAACCACCCAATCAACATTTCTCCCTTGCCTATTCCTAATTGGATTCACTGTCCAAAATGCAGAGGTTTGCTTTGCTTTGTTTCAGAAGTTCCAAACAGCAACTTTGAGAGCAGTGGGGTGCTTGGCAGCTGTTCTGTGTTTTCCAGGATTCCAACTGAGCATTGAAATCCCTCATTTGCCAACTTATTTTTATAGGAAGCCAATTAAAAAAAAAAAAAAAGTTTTCTTATAGCATTGGAACTACTTCTAATTTTAAAATGACTTTTTTGATGTATTTTTTTGTTAAATACTATGTAGTGTAATGTATAATTGCTCTTGTTTATTGCTTTTACAATCATATTTATTAAACAGATAATGTCTCTAAAACTTTTGCCTCAAGGTGTTTATTTTATCCCGAACTTTAGTGCTCAGTCTAGCTAAAGAAGTGATCATATGTAGGATTTCTGTCGAGCTAATTGCTTGAAAAGTCCAGTAAACAACCAAAGCTCAAAAGTTTTTCTAACAAAGTAGAATATATTCTACTACTTGAATTCTACATGCAGTTCAATTGGCTATATAAATCTCATTATTAAAGTATTGTGTTCTACTTAAAGATTACTCCAGAATGCCTACACTGGAAGGCTTGACATGCTATTACTTCATGATTTGAAGTGATTAATGAGTAACAAACCCAAATTTTTTTATAATCTTGTAGCTACTAAAAGGCCAAAGTTGCACCCAATAAACTGAAATATAAAGGCTAATGACTGGGTTTTCGAGTAAAGCCAGCTTTGGATCTAGACTCAGAAAGAATTCAGTTGGACCAACTGTGTGACCTTGAGCCTATCACTGTATCATACAGAAGCGTAAGTGCCCTCATCCATGAAATCTGGTTGTAGAAGACCTCTGTTGGCTCTCTTATTCTGATTCACTCCCCAGAACCACAAATAGCTGGTTTAAAGTTCATGGAAAATAAACAAGTGGACTAGGTCCAAATCTGTTTGGCTGATCCAAATCTTATATGCCCTACATAAGTGGTATCCCTCCTTGGGCACCATTTTGCATCATATTTGACTGCAACATTTGTACAGGCAGACACCTGAAAAGTAGACACTGAGTCTGTCTTGAGGCACTTCAGAAGTTAAGCCTGAGGATCTACTTCAGGGAAAAAACCTGAACAAATAGATGCTGAAAACTCTATGGAGAGCACACCCAAGGGGTCGTCATGGCTCGATGTCAACTGATTGGTCGATTGGTTGGTTGAATAATGGAAGAGCTGTGGTGTGAGATTAGCATCAACAGGAAGCTTCTAACATCCCTGGACTAGAAAGGACACCGCTATTACCACTATTACCGGGGTCCAGGAGCTAGGACCACCAGGTTGAAGCTGAAGTTACAGAAGATGTGTCTGCCAGGAGCTAGGGCCATGGAGGAGATATGGCCACTGCCAACAATGCTGTCCAAGCAGAGAGAAACAGAAGAGGTCATTTGGCTCTTCTCTTGCTCTGGTCTTCCTTAGTCCTGCCCGAGCTTTCCCCTGGCCCAAACCAAGCACAAGCCTGTGGGCAGTCGAACCTGGGAAATGCAGTTTCTTGAAATAGCTGGGCAAGGAAGTGGTGAGAAATGAATTCCAGAGCTCTCAGACTGGTGATGGGCACAGCACTTCTTTAAAGTTCATCCCACACCCAATTCAACAAATCCTCCCCCACCTGAAAGATTACTAAAGTACATAATAGGTGCTCCTTTCCCTGGGTCCATTTGTACATATTTCCCTCATAACCACACTGTTTAGAGCTTGGCATTATGTCTATGGATGGCACTGCATGCTTTTCTCTCCCAATTCTAAGACCATCTGTGGAAAGATCTTAGATAGTCTTTGAATCTGTATTTCTCATCTCATTCCTTTAGCATCTAGCACTGGGAATTGCCATTAGGGGGCGCTAGATAAATGTTTGCTGAAACTCAACCGTTGATTTTTAGCTCAGTCTATTTAGCAGCCAGCTCCGAGGTGGCGTCTCGGTTCGACTCTCCTTACCCAGCTCACACCTCTAATTACATTTTCAATTGGTGTTTGCCAAGAATCAACACATCTTTGCCCTTCCTCTTTGTTACCACTTAAACTGCTGTATTCCAGGAGCTATTCTTAAACATTAATTTAAGTAAAATAATTGCAGTTAAGAAACACACACAAAAAAGCTGACTATAAAGTAGTATAAGAAAAAAAGCCTGAATTTTACATTATGTGACTCGTTCATCTTCTTCCTCAGGAGTTAATAGTGTTTTGAAAACACGTTAGGCTAAAGCTATCACAGTGGGAGAATTCCAAAATAATCCCAGATGGACTGGTGAATGGAAACAGTTTTAATAGAGTGTTGATGTTAAACACATGTGAAGGGAACTATGGTTTGCAGAATACAGATATTTAATATATAGAACACACTGCTTAGGTGATATCAATACATCAACTGGGAACAAAACAGGTAAACTATCTGCCTTCATAAAGCATGTGTTCTAATAGGAGCACTGAGCAAAAAGCATAAACTATAGCATATCACACATGTTATCAGAGTGAATGATTCCCTGGAGAAGAACATTATGCTTGGTAAAGTGGAGGGCCAGTGAAAAACAGGAAAACCCCCAACAAGATGGACTGGCACAGTGGCAGCAACAATGGGCTCAAGTGTAATCATTGTGAGGATGGCACGGACCAGGCAGTGTTTCAATCTGTTGTGCATACGGTCGCTCTGACTCCGAACCAACTCAGTGCACCTAATAACAACAGCAACAGGGTGCAATGCTACAACATATACAATTATTTTCAGGTATTTACATGTAAAAATAAAACCATTGACAAGGGTGGGTGGGGGTGAGAGAAGAAACAATGCCTGGATCTATCACTGAGATAAATAAGCACTAGACTGCTCACCACAAGGTTGTCGGTTCAAAAACAACCAGCTGCTCCTTGGAAACCCTATACAGGGTCACTAGGAGTCAAAACAGATTCAACCAATGGCATTAACAACAATTGATCCAGTGGGAGCACATTAGCTCTGTAGGATAAGCACTGGACTGTAACCACAAGGTTGGTGGTTCAAGCCTACTAGCTACTTGGGAGAAAGACGAGCCTTTCTGCTTCCTGCAAAGATTTATAACCTAAAAAACCCTATATTGAGCTGCGATGAGTCAGAACCAACTCGCATATACTTAACCACAGTAATGACAATTGCTCCAGTTTGTTCAAACTAAATTACGGAACAATCTCCACTACAAAACAAACACTTGGACCTAAACAACAGAAATGCTTTCAGTTTAAGGAAATAAGTTTTTACAAAGCTCATGCACATTCTAGGAGCAGTAAGGGATTGCTATGTAAAAGTTTTCTCAAAGAATTGTATATA